ACAAAAAAAACAAAAACCCATGTGACTATATTATAGTCATCAATGACGATAAGAAAATACCGATAGCTAGATAAGAAAGGAGTTTGCTATAGGCCCCCATATATCATCATGGACAAGTTCAAAGCATTTTATAAAACAAGAACCGATAGGAAAAGAAAGACGTTTTTGTTTTGCATAATGGAAAATATCACGATTTGTATTAGAGATGTTGACAGGAACATCTTTACAAAGAGAATGCAAAGCAGATAGTCTAAAATTGAAACCTAACCTATAATGCCGGACATTAAAAGAATTACTAGAATTTGAGCTGGAATGCATAGCATTTAAAATAAACCGATGATCAATGAAAGTTGTTGGTGTTATCAATCGATACAAGCCTTGTTTCCGCCTGATTGTACCAATCATCTTCTTCGAGTGATAGTCTTGTATAACACAAGAATTAGAATGGAATGTCAAAGAGCAATTGGAAATTTTTATTAACCGACTTATCGAAATAAGATTAAAGGAAAAGCTAGGAACAAAGAGAGCATTATGTAGGATGAGTGTATCGGATACCTTAACCGTGTCAACATGTGTAACTATAACTCATTGACCGTTAAGCAATTTGACGTAAATATGAGAAACTAGAGTACATGTATGAAAGAATTATAAGGAACAAATTATATGGTATGTTGCACCAGTATCTAATATCCACAAAATGGAACAAGGAAGGACGTAACCACAAAAGGAATTATAACTACTTGAGATGAAGGAGAAATTACTAGACAAGGCATTAACATCAATGGAAGTAGAGGATTACAAGTGAGGTTGAATTAGAGCTAGAAGTTTAGAGTGTTGCTCTATAGTAAAAGAAGGTTGCATAGCACTAGATTCACTAGAGACAAGCAAAATGATTGCTGGAAAACATACTACCGTAAGGATTATCGACTTCATATAACACATCATTACCACAATTATCAACTCGATTAGCCAATCCATTAAATTCAGCTTGAGGTTTGTCAAACAGCTTTATAACCCGGTGGATAGTCATGTTTCTTGTAGCATATATCCGCAGTATGTCCTCGAAGGCCATAAAAAACACATTGAAATTTAGATTTTCCATTGCTATTATAAACTAATTTCCTCCGACCGTAAAAACTATTTCTTCCGGAAGGAGAGAAACTTCTACCACCATGTTGAGAAATAGACTTATTAAAGAAAATAGCCCTAGGATTTGTGTTACCAAAATTACTTTATGCATCAAATCCTACATTCTTGTCGTTCATGGTGAATGACCATACTAAAAACCATGTTAATGGATGGAAGAGGATCTATTGACAATATTTGAGACCTCACGATTACGAAATTATCATTTAAACCTTTCAAGAATCCGATCATAATCATAGTTCGAAAATTTTGAATTCTTTTGAAAGCTTCACAACAAGCATTAAGGATTACAAGTGCATTGAGGTATGCTTCTTAGATTCGAAAATTCATCCCATAGTACTTTCAAATGAGTGAAGTATTGAGTAACATGAAGTAAACCTTGGTTATAAGAATATATCTCCTCTCGAAGCTCTCCGAAATAATCAACATGGGAGAATCGATCTCGCAGATCCGTCCAAACCTCCAATGCAGATGTCCACCCAAATGACGCTCCGTGCAATCTCAAGAGAAATAGATCGAAGAGAATCTAGGACAACACCATTGTGTTGCATCTCTCCTAGGCTAAATATAGAGGATCGATTTGTCCGGAGCTTTAATGGTTTCATCAACGAACCGTAACTTGTTTTTAGAAAGAAGCGGCATCCGCATCGATCGATGCCGGGAATGATAATTGGAATCGAGTAAGTGGAGGTGAAACTAGTATGAGAGAAGGATTCTCACTAGCATGAAGAAAATAAGGACTAAACATCCGTTCTTCGGCCTCAAACTCGTAATATTTGGAAAAGACTTAACAAAAGGTGCAACCATGGTGAATCGCAAAGATAGAAGAAAAATTGAGTGTTTGGTTTCTCAAAAGAAAATTCAAGAATAGAAAACATGAGGAAGAAAATACTCGATACCATAACAAGATTTGAGAGAAAAGAACAAGCAAGGTGAGCAAAAGAGAAGAATGAAAAGTCACACTTTCCTTCTCTCGCTTTTGCACTATATATATAACGGTAACAAACCGACATCCGAAACTAATTTGAAACCGACTAACTAACCGTAAAAACTAAAATTTCTTAACTAACCTTGGCAGTTAGAATAAGTAAACAAGAATTAAAAACGTGTGCAACACGCGCGCACGTGTGTGTGTGTGTGAGAGAGAGAGAGAGATATGTTAATAGACATGCATATAAAAATGATAGTAGAATTGCTTCTTGTTTTCATAATTATTTTATTTTTGGTGTTGCCGTTCCCATTGCATATATAGTTTATTAATCTCCCTCCACATTCTATTTTTGCTAATTAACTACGCTAATAACATAAAATATTGAGCACCAAATTTAATTCGAGTCTTATTTTTTTTAAAAAAAAAGAAGATTAAAATTATAAATTTGAATTTAAAAAAATTAGAAACCAACTCTTTCCCTCCAGTAATTCTTAAATTTTATAAGGAGAAATTTTGAAGGGAAGGGAAATGGAGATCATTTAACTTTCTGTTCCAAACAAGGTTAAAAATTATTCTTCTTATCCTACCGAATTATCATCATCATTAATTTATTATTATTATAACCATTGAGTTGCACGGAGATTGAAACCAACGACCTACTACCATTTGAAACACTCATGTCTTGTCTCCCGCCTTCTCTTGTGCCCACAACTGCCACCAAAAACCTCAATCAATTCCATGCATCCTCTCCCAAATCATGCCTTTCTCTTTTAGAACTCTGCAAGCATACCACCGAGTTCGCTCAAATCCATGCCCAACTTACTAAACTTGGCTTCATTAAAAACCCACTTGCCCTCACTAGACTCTTGTGCTATTCATCAATCTCTCACTATACAGACATCAACTATGCTCAGTCGATCTTCAATTTTGATAAAAAACCAAATGCATTTGCTTATAATGTAATGATCAGAGGCTACGCACAGAGAGGAAAACCCGAAAATGCTCTTTCTTTATTTTATAGCATGGTTTGTAACGCCAATTCTGTGCCAAATAAGCTAACTTTTCCTTTCGTTTTGAAAGCATGCTCTCAGGTTAGAGCACTTGAAGAGGGCAAACAAGTTCATGGGCTGGTTTTTAAACATGGTTTGAGAGAAGATCTTTTTGTGCAAAATAGTTTGATTAGCATGTACTCATCTTGTGGGTTAATTGGCTTTGCTTGTCAAGTGTTTGATGAAATACATGGCCCGGATGTGGTTTCGTGGAATTCGATGATTAGTGGGTTGGTTGATTTGGGTTTTGTAGAGCAAGGGAAGCGGATGTTCGATAGAATGTCAACGAGGAGTTCAGTTACATGGAATTGTTTGATTGATGGGTATGTGAAAGCTGGACTGTTGATGGAGGCTAGAGACTTGTTTGATCAAATGGAGGGGAAGAATTCGGTTTCTTGGAATACCATGGTTGGTGGGTATGTGAGTTTGGGTCTGATGGAGGATGCGAAAGGATTGTTCGCTAAGATGCCGCGGGAAATGAAGGATGTGATCACTTTTAACTTGCTGATTGATGGGTATGCAAGAGAGGGTGGATTTGCAGAGATATTGAAGATATTTCAAGAGATGCAAGTGGCTAAAATAGAACCCTCGAGGTTTACCATGGTGAGTGTGCTTATGGCTTGTTCTTATTTGGGGGCTTTGGAGCCAGGCGAAAGGATGGAAGCTCACATAGAGAAACATGGGATTGATGTGGATGCTGTTCTGGGTACTGCTTTGGTTGATGTGTATGCGAAGTGTGGAAATATTGAGAGAGCTCTTTCAGTGTTCGAAAGAATGGAGGAGAGAGATGTTGGAGCATGGAACTCAATAATTCATAATCTTGCTGCCCATGGTCGTGGCCAAGAGGCTTTCAATATTTTTTCAGACATGTTGAGGTCAAATACTCAACCGGATGGCATAACATTTCTTGGCTTATTGAGTGTATGCCGCCATTTGGGGCTTATTGATGAAGGAAAACGTTTTTTTCAACTCATGAGTGAAGAATATGGTCTAGTGCCAAAGGTTGAACATTACGGTTGTATGGTGGATCTTCTCTGCCGTGCAAATCTTTTAGAAGAAGCAAGGGACTTGATAGACTCTTCCCAGGCTTCACAGATGAAATCCAGCGTTCCCATGTGGGGTGCTCTTCTTGGAGCTTCATGTCGGCTCAAAAATGTAACGATGGGTGAACATGCTGCAAAACATCTTTTGCAATTGGACCCTTTTGATGGCAGCTGTTACGCAGTTTTATCCAATTTGTACTCGGCTGCAGGCTTGTATGAGAAAGCCATGGAAGTAAGGAATAAGATGAAGAAACAAGGAATGGAGAAGATCCCAGGCAGTAGTTCAATAGAAATAGATGGTTTCGTTCTTGATTTTAGGGTGGGTTCTAGTTCTCTTGAATAATGCTCTCTTTTCTCTCCGACTACTTGTGGCATCTAATGTAACTCATTTGAGCTTCTTGACATCTAACAATGAGAGAAGTGATGCCTTGGCAAGACAACCAAAGAAACAAGAAATAACTGATGATAACTGCCCATCCATTTTCCATCCTTGTGCACTTAGCGAATACCATAACTTGTATTATCAAAGGAATAAAAATGTTTGGAAAGGACTTGATACAAGTGAAGGTAATCCTTCGGAAGTGATCCTTTATACCTTGGTTAGAAAAAAATCGTAAAACACAAAGCAACATGACAGCAGAAACAACTAATAATGACTTTAAAACCCTTCCATTCAAGTAAACAAAATTAAGCACCAACCCAAGATCCTCAGCAAAATCTATAGTAGCAATTTGGTCCCCCAACCCAACAAAATATCCATACATGGAATGGAGAAATAAGAATTTTCAAGTGCTTTAACTATCCCATAAATAAGAGAAACAAATATGAAAATCATCGCTTTCCACCACCACCACCAAGCTTAGGGCCCTTCGGTGCAGCACCCTTTGGCCCGCCCTTGGTTTGTGTCTTCTGTATCTTAGCCATCAACTCTGCCTTTTTTGCCTTCTTTTCATCCTTAGTATGCTTGATTCTCTCCTTGATCTCACTGAAAATAACGAAAACAACTATTAAATAGTAAAGCACAAAGAATCCACCTTACACTCCTTGGTGAATAGAAACCTTACATAACACCTCTCAATTCACAAAATTATAAAAGATTAGACGTGAGAGAGCATACCGTAGAGCAGCTTCACGAGCAGCATCACGGACCTCAGGCTTCTCAGTTCTCCTCTTCTGTATAACTTCCAAAGTAGCACCAACTATAGACCTGGAGTAGGGCTTCTTAGTGGTTCGGCGCTTCTTCTTAACAGCCTCAGTAGCAATGTCCTACAAACCAATAACAAATGAATCATGCGTAGGTTGAAACGGAGAGGCAGAGAAGGAATAATCCATTTCAGACATATGTATACCTTCTTGTGCTGTTTCCTGTACATAGCTGTCCAGGTAAGCTTGGAAGGCTTAAGGCGATTGTGGAAATAACTCTTGCATTTCGAGTTGGCAAAGAGGAAAACCTTCATCAATCAAAGATCACTACATTATTTAGTTAAACAAAAAACGACCAAAAAAATAAAAAGGTAGAGTACTGCATTGTCAGATTTGTACAGAACATAACCAAATAAATTAATAACAAAGAAGAAGAATTCGAAAACATATGGCATTTACCTGAGAATCAGAGCGGATGAATCTGATACCCTTTCCAGGGTAAATCTTGGCCCCACTGAAGCGGCAAAGCTCAGTCCTAATATACCAAAATCAATGACTAGATTAGAAGTCTACCAATCCAGAATAAAATACTAGTGCGGTCAAGTCTAACAATAACCTCACGTGAATGCAATAAAATTAGGCAAAACACATTATTTGAACAATGCAATAAAATCAGAAGGCTACAAGTAAAATCATTTAAAGGATAAAAATATGAAATCTGCAACTTCAGATGAATCGAATCAATCAACTGGAATATACATAGAGGAAGGTAGAAGGAGGCTTACTTGAGAACCATGGTGGGGTGAAAGTGGTGACCCCGCTCTGCTGCTGCTGTTGCCTTCTGGTGGAGATGGTCCTCTTCGTTTTAGGAACCCTAACTGGGCACCCACATCTCCAATTTAAAACTAGCTAAAAACCCCGCAGCGTAAGATGGAAGGAAACGGGGCCGTTTCTTTCCCTTGTTAACAGTCTCTTGGGCCTTTTGTTCTTGCTTCTTAGAGCTGCTTAAGCCCAAAAATCCAGACCCTACCAGCCTTACATGTCAAATATTTTTCATTTTATTTATTTATTATTATTATTGTTATTTTGAGGACTGGGGGGTTAATATTTAAATCACCTTTACTATTACATTTAATTTATTTTTTAATAATTCTGTTTATCATTAGATAATTGTAGTCTAACCACTTGATGGTGGTCCTTTGACGAAATTCATTCATTGAATACACTAGTCTACATCAATAGTTGATAGTAATAGTTAGGAAGTTAATTCGGAACAAATATTTCAAAATAACAGGACAGCTATCGTTATTCTAACTATTTTATAGATATAAACTAGGCGGTTGCGCGAGCTATATTGCGATCATATAGAGCCAAATTATTTTTTAATTAAAATTTATATTTAATTAATTTTTCTTATTTTTTCATAAATTTTTTACTTAAAAAAAATATGATTCATTTTTCTTTATGCATTGATTTTTAAATAATTTAAATTGAAATATTAATCCAGAATTCAAAAAAATAATAAAAATATATTTTCAATAAGATTGTATCCAAAAAATGAAACTACAATTAATGTATAGACTTGTATAAAAAAAATAAAAAAACAAATTACTCTTATCAAATGCTAATGAAAAGATTATTTTTTAAGAATATATCCATTTGACTTATATTTATTTATTTACAAGATAATCAATAATTTTAGTCTAGAAAAAACTGTATTTGACTGATTTAATGACTTTTTTAATAAAATTATTGCAATCATTTATTTCAAAAAAATTAGTTTTATAATATTAAAAAAATAATAGCAAATGTGTGGTATTATGTGTGTAGATGCATAATAAATTTTATATGATGAAATTTTCAATAAAATCAATGATTTAATATTTTGTATACATCATGATTCTATGTAATGGGTTAAAAGTGTGCAGCATAAAACAAAAAAAGCAAAGAGAAATTTCAAATAAAATACCTGCAACATATTTAACATATTTCATCATCATCACAAGACTGCATAACAGAAAAAAAAAAAAAAAAAAAAAAAAAAAGAAGCTTGCTTGCACTCAATTGGGCCTGGTTCCAAGCCCAGGCAAGCAAATCCAGCCCAGTTGGAGTGAAACAAAATAGTAATTAATCTGCATAATGTTTTCACAAATCCTGGGTTGGTACTCTGATCTCAACTCCCTTCAACCTTTTCTCCTCCTCTTCATTTCGCAATGGAGCTGTATATTGTAGGTTTTGGGACAGCCCAGTTCGAGTGAAACAAATTTCACTCGAATAGTTCATTCTGTAATCTCGAGTCTAGAGGATCAATTGATTAAATTATGCAATCCAATAATTGACCGCTAAGGAGAGTCAGAGACACAATAGTTGCAGGGGACGGGGGACAACTGTTGATTAGTTGTTGACAGGTAACAGGCTCGATAAGCTATCGAGAAAAACCCAATTTAAATGGGAATACTGCAATTAAAGCTTCTGACATGAATTCTGCCAAAACAAATTTTAACAGTACGTTCAACATCAGCTGAAAGGAGAGCAGTACAGGGAACTCCGTGAAGCCCATTTCCAGCACCGTTTCTGCCTGGGTAGCGTTACTTTGACAGTTTTTCGTTAACTGGGTGAACGCTGCAAGAACTACAGAGCATGTATAACTGAAGACCGAATGCAAATGTTCTACAACTTTATATCCACATTGCAATTCTGTTACAACTGAAGCGAAAGCTCCCTCTATAAGTTCAGTTTTCCCATAAAAAACATGTTTCTGGAACATTAAAACAAGGATGATGTCCACATCAACCTCTAGCCATCATATTACCGGAATAGAGCTACTATTTAATTATGCCGCTCTAGCTGTGTCACGAACTAATGCAAACTTGGCCAACAGGCCACATAGCTGAAGATACGAACCAACACCATCACAGATTCTCATATGGGCAAACCCAGTTTCCTGCAAACTCATAAATGTCAGAGAAAATGTGTGATAATGAGATTAGATAGATGGAAAGAAATATTGGACAGGTGATAACATTTTACCTTCATGAACTCCAATTTTAGATATTCAGCCATTTCATAATTCTTTATGATTCGGAAAAGGGTTGTAATTATGTCAGTGGGGGAATAACCCAAATCATAAAGAACCTTCAGACCAGAACAAGCTTCATCAAATTCACCCTTAAGCACATGGCGCACCATATTCTTCACATGCAATGGATGAGGCTGATCACAGACCTGAAAAGCAACTAACAACTTAAGATTCTCATAATGCATGGCAGCTCTGAATACCAAGGTTAGGACAACTATTAAGAGTTGTAACCTTGAAAACATTTTCCTGATTGACAAATTGGAATCCACTGTATGTAGCTTGCAAGTTGTTCAAGGCCTGCCTCATATCTCCATCGGCAGTAAATATAATAGCTTCAAGACCTTCAGGAACATAAGGGACCTTCATTGATACAAATAAAAGTCAATCATGGTTGCGTCGAGCTTATAAACACAATCTATTATCAAAGGTGCATTGAGATTTTAATCTTGCAGAGCCATGACAAAGAGTCCCCATCATGTTTGCGGTACTTATAAGCTTTCATGAGAAAAATCCAAGCTTCATCCAACCATGTAATCTCCCAATCAAGATGTATTTGAATCAATGACCCTAGTTTCAAAACAAGTTCTAAATAGAATAGACAGTGTCACTCCATACCAAAGCTCACTTACCATGTTTTCAGGGCTAAAATATACTGCCTATTTAAATGGTGATTTGCACATTAAAATCCACGAGTAGATAATTGTCCACTTCCTGCCTTATAATTGCTCATTTCAACTTTCACCACTTAGAATAGCTTCAAAAGTCAATGTACGCTCATTCTATAGAGTAATAGCTTACACATTCCCTCACAAGAAAGGCATTTCAATGGATAAACAAGTTTATTGATGGAAGCACAGGATCCATCACTTTAGGTTTAAAGCTGAATAGCAGGCAGAATTTCTCAGAACAGCCATGATTAAAGGAAAAAAAAAACTGGCAGATGATAAAATTTTATATTCCCAATCTGAACAGTTGGGTTAAATTCAGAAACAAGGAAAGAACATAGATGAGGATAATGGCTCTTAGTATTAAGCTTTAAATGGTACTGAGGCGTTCAGCATTATGCAAAATTAAAAATCATTTACCTGTTCTGCTCCAACTACCACCATGAGACGACCAAGTATCTCTTGATCAGATAATCTTGAAAATCGAACAATGGCACATCTACTCTGAATAGGCTCGATAATTTTAGAAGACGTGTTGCATGCAAGAGCAAAACGAGTGGAATTTGAATAAATTTCCATGGTACGTCTCAAGGCTTGTTGTGCTCCAGATGTCATGCTGAAAAAAGGGGTAATGAAAAGTAAATGAATACCAGGAAAAAGGTGTACAAAAATAAATTTAAGAACGAGAACTACACGTTACTAGATGGAACAAAATGCATCTGAACAGGAAAGCAAAATTGTAAAGCTGGTGCATAAGATAGAAAAAATAAAAAACAATGATATGGGTTACGCAATCAACCAAATGAGAGATAATCATTGTATACCTATCAGCTTCATCGAGAATTACAATTTTGTGTTGTCCAGGAAGCAGTGTCACTTTCTTTTGTGCAAACATCTTAATTTTGTTCCTCACAACATCTATACCCCTGGAAAACAATAAGAACTTGATAATAGGACAAGAAGGCAAGCAACAAGGGTAAGTACTATGAAGTTTTTGATACCCCCAAAGAAAGCAATTTTTACATACCTGTCATCTGATGCATTCAGCTCTAAGACAGCCTCCTTCGAATTTGGTCCAAGAAGCTCATGTGCAAGAGCCAGGATACTTGAGGTTTTGCCAGTTCCAGGAGGACCCTGAAAATATAAAGGATTGTGAGTATGAACATAGCAGCGATGAAGAAAAGCACATAACTACAAATCTTCATTCACAAGGAAATTAGATGCACGGTTGAAGCCAACTTTTTTAATTTTCAAGGCTTTTTTTAAAACCTTTATAAAGTTGGTAAGCAGACATAAATTGACCCGACTAAAAATTTAAAGTGTGCTGTGAGTTGTAAACAAGACAATGCTATTAGTCTATGAACCTCAGTGGTTGCAATTTCTTTTTTTTTCTTGCACATTCCATGATAGTTTAAATATAAATTTCAATCATCCCTGAATTTTTCATTTTTCGGGGTATCTATCCACCGAATAATTTGAAGCTCAATAGGAAATGCTTTTGCACCAGTATCAGCCGCGAGAGATCTCAATTCTCGACCTCTTTAACCAGTTTTTCTTAATCCGGGCAATTGCAAAACCAGTTCAATTATTGACCACACAGAAATTGCAAAATTCTCGGGTCTTTGTATTTCACAAAATTCATTTCAATGCACGATAGCTCAAGCACTTCCTTTATCAACACAATTTCATTCAAACCAAGTAAAGAATTTATTTAATTAGTATACAAAGACATCGTTGAGTCTTTAATCAATTTCCCTACAAACCCATAAAATCCCGGCGATCTAAAACTGTGTGTAATAATAGAGAATAAATAGAAGAATGAATCAGAAACAAAATAAAGAGTAAAGCGTAACATACAGCCAATATGAGATTAGGCATGTTTCCATCGCGAGCGATGACTTGGAGGCGAGAGACGGCGTCTTCGTTACCGACGATGTCAGCGACTTTGTTAGGCCTGTATTTCTCTACCCATGGAATGTCGTAGTTGCTGATGTTGCTCGATGATGCCATTCGTTGGCGATGTCTTGATTTTTTTTTTTTGGCTAAAAGAAAGAAACCCTTGCTCTCGCTCGCTGCTTAACCCATCCCTAAACCCTTTTTCAATTTGGAGGGAAATTGGCAGCGTGAAGTTAAGGATTTTATTTTTTCTTTTTCTTTAAATACTCGTATTTTTTAATATTATAAATTATTACATTATTATATTATTACAAAAGAAACTAAAACTATTGCTAAACTGTTAACTCTCGCTCATTAGCGGACTTAGCTGTTTTTTTTCTTTTTGCCTTTGCGTTATAAGCAACCTCTTTTACTTTTAATTATTATTATTGTGATTTGGTGAATTTATAAAAATTCACAATTATCCTTAACTGATTTTCTTTTTAATTTTCTTCTTTAACCTTTTTTTGTCATTTCATTTTTTTTCTTCTACATTATAAACGGCATTCTCTTTCACTCTTAATTACACTTATTGTCACTCAATAAATTTATGAAAATCCACAATGACCTTTAATCGGTTCTTTTTTTATTTCTCTTTTAGCCATTTTTCGTCAATTCAGCTTTCTTTTCTAACGAGCATTTAATGTTGTTGTCATTTCCTTTTTCTCTTTTCTTATTTCGTAGGAATGAGTAAATTTTCATTCTAGAATAAATTATAAATTAGCCCCTCTTTCTTAGTATAAAAAATCAATTAGTCCATCCGATTTCAAAAATTAACGTTTTTATCCTTTCACTACTCTTTAATTTTTTTACTTTTTGTTTTAAGAAATAGAAAAGAAAAAAATAGATAAAATATGACAAAGATTGATGAGGAAAAAAACATTTTAAAAAATAAAAAAGGACAAAAACGTTAGTTTTTGAAATCGGATAGACTAATTAATTTGTTTTCCTAAGAAAGAGAGACTAATTTTTTTTCAACAAACGAGGACTGAACCCCGACAAATTTAATTAATAATAAATAAAACATACAAGAAGGGATAATCCAGCCTTATCCAAACAAACCGAAGGGACAAAAAAGGCCAAACCCCTAAAGAAACAAAGCAACTCGTGTTACAAAAGAAAATGAAAACTACCTCAGCTTTCTATAATTATAGAAACCAATTTCTATAATGCCTAAGAGACACTTTAACCTCAAAGGGTAAATCAAAAAAACACAAAAAATATATATATATTTTTACCTATTAGAGAATGTGCATGATACGCTAATCTATCTACCAAAATATTTTGCTCCGAGTATACATGGGTTAAGGAATGTCCCAAAAATAATAAGGAGCAATGTCTCGGGTGATAAGTATAGGCCCAAGGCAATGATGAGAGACCCAAAATAGCTTGACCCAATTGCTTAGAATCAGCCTCCACAAGCATGTTATTAAACAAAAGTTCTTGATAGAAAAGAAGGTCATCATATAAAGCTAGATGTTCCGCTCTTGTATTAGTATCTATGCTATAGTTGTTTGCAAAGGATGCCATGACTTGCCCTCCCGAATTGCGGATAACACCCCCATTGGTGCAAACACCATCTATAGAGAAACCATCCATATTAAGTTTATGGCGATCCTCCAAGGGTGGCATCCATCGAACCCATTTACCTCTATCAAAACGCACTAATCAAATCAACAAACCTAAAGCTTGAAATCTCTACACATATGAAACACTAAACAAAGATTTAGGCTTAAAAATGGAACACATATCGAAAGATGACGACATACCTAATTGATGATGACATCGGTAGATATAGGAATTTTATCAAATCATGCTTTATACCTCTATTTCCATATCTCCCAAAAGGAGAAGCAAAAGATAGATATCCAACACATGCCAACTTGTGTCGAGGTAAAGGCTTTTCGGATGTGAAATAATTCGGATGAAGATGTATATGTATATGTACTCCTTACTTTAAAATAAGGTGCTAATCTAACCCAAACTCTAGAACTAACTTTTGAGTGCAAAAAGAGATGATCAATCGACTCCTATCTAGAAGACACACAACAAGCTATAAATTGAGACCATAGGGATGGTCAAATCCTTTATCCTAGAGTCAACTAAAATTGCCCCATGTAACCATTTCTAGACAAACCTTCCCACTTTAGGTGGAATGCGGGATGCCAAACTAATTTAGCCTACCAAACTCATGGTCGTTGTTGTCTACAATGATTCCAACAAGTTTTGGATTCAAAACAATCTATCTTAGATAAGTTGAAAATCATTTTATCCTCTACGCCTTCATCTAATTGAATAAGCTTAACACACTCACGAAATTAAGCGAGGAATGAATGAGAGAAAATCATCTAGACAATTAAAAGCCTCATCTACCGAGAGATTGTAATCTAAAGGTAGAAAAGCATTCAAAATCGTTCCACTCCAATTAGACTTTCAAAAAGAAATTAAACCTTTTCCTACAATCCAAGAACTACAACCTTCCAAAGTAGTAATGTGGTTAAAAATAGCCTTCCAAATATAAGAAGAGTAGGACCAATAGTGGGGAGTGGGTCCATACTTAGCTTTCGTGATCTTAGCCCAAAAACTATGGCCTTAAAGAAAAGACCAAACTAGTTTAGCATGTAACGCATCCATTACCAAGTGAAAGTCTACGAATACGCAAAACACCCTCTAACAATGGTCGACATACCTTATCCCACGATACCCATTGATGTTTAGCCTCTCTAGTCGAGCTCCATAAGAACATAGCCATTATCCGTTCAAGCCTATAAATTATTATTTTTGGCAAAGGGATAGCATAAATAGTATGGATTGGAATATTACCGACCACTCGCTTTCAAAAGTGTGATCCGGGCTTTGAAGGACAAATATTTTGATTTCTACCTTCCAATCCTATTTGTCAATAACTTCTCTAAATACCGAAAATATCTACATTTTATTCGACCATTAAACAAAGGCACCCCATGATAGTTAATAGGCAAACTCAAATTGTTACATCTAGTCCATACCTTAAGTAAAGCTATTTGACGATTAGGCATTTTCTTTGGAGTATAAAAACCACTCTTGTAATATATTCAAAATTTGACCCGAGGCTTCCTCATACTCGTAATTAATTGTCTAAGGCAAAAAATCAACTTTTTAGATCCATTAGTGAATAGCAAGATATCATCTCGCATAAAACAAGTGAGTAATGGATATATCTCCATAACCCCCTACCATATAATGGATGATCCGACCTTTCTTAACGACATAATCTAGTGAATATGAGAGGAGTTATTGAACTAGAATAAATAGTAAATGAGATAAAGGATCTCCTTGTCCGACTCCTCTACTAGATTTGAAAAAACCATAATTCCTTCCTCGAATCCTAATGGTATACCAAACATTATTAATACAACGATAGACTAGATCATACCACCGATTACAAAAGCCCATTTCCCTCATGGTTCTAAGCAAGAAAGACCAATCAACTCTATCATAAACTTTAGACATATCTAATTTGAAGATAAGGTTATTATCATATTTTTTTTATTTAACTTTGCCACTAATTCTTGAGCAATTGCAATATTTTCTCGTGATGCTCCTACCCTTAACAAAACCAAGTTTGATCTAACGAAATTATATATGGGAGAACCTTACCTAGTTTATTAGCCATTATTTTTTATATAATTTTGCACCCAAATGATAAGAGACTAATAGGTCTTAAATCATTCATATTAGAAGCATTTGCAATCTTAGGGATTAAGACTAAAACTATTGTTGTCATACCTTTGGAAATGTGACCCCTTTAAAAAAATCTTGGATTGCCAAAATTACTTCCTTCTTAATCAATGCCTAATTTCCTATGAAAAATGTCCAAGTAAAGCCATCTAAACCTAGGGCACTCAAAGGATTAAAATCGTTGATTGCCTCCCAAAGTTCAACTTCATATAGAATATCTATAAGCATAGTATTTTGGTTTACTAAAACGTGTTTAAAATTACCTAAGAATAGAGAATCATTTCTATTGGTTCTACCCGTAAAGAAAAAGGCTTGGAAAAACTCTACCGTTATAGGTCCTATCACATCGTATCCTCTCGTAAGGGTTTCATCTATTTGTCTTAAACTAAAAGATTGTTTCCTAGCATTATCCTTAATACAAGCATGAAAGTAAGAGGTATTACGATCACCATCCCGTACCTAATTTGCTCTTACTTTTTATTTCAATAATTTTACCTCTCATCTATTAACTAGGGTAAATTTATCTCTTGTTGTTTGCAAATTTAAATGGATATTCTCATTCCATCCGTGTAATAACTCATTTTCCAATCGAATAACCTTGTCTTGAAGATTCTCCATAAGGCGACTAATGTTTTCAAAAATATTCCAATTCCATTGTTTTAATTTATGACCTAGAAGTTTCAACTTAGGGTGAAAGATATCCATAGAAGCCCTTGAAAAAGGAGACTCCCAAACTCTTTTAATAAACACTTCGTATTCCTTATGTTCCATACACATATATTGAAACTTAAACAGGGAATAAGACTCGTCCACTCGGACACAAACCCGAACAACAAAGACGAATGATCCATCCGAATCCTAGCAAGGTTTTGGACCGAAATGGATGGAAGGGAAGACACAAAATGGTCATTAATTAGGACTCTACCAATTCTCTTCCAAATTCCGGATCGTCCGTACTTATTATTACACCATGTATATCGACTTTTTGTATAACCAGCGTCATCAACCCTAATATTATTGTAACAATTCACAAAGTTTCTCATTGCTTGTAAATCATAGCCCGAACCATCAACTCTTTTTAACACATCTACTATGATATTAAAATCCCTCCCCACTAACCAGGGGATCTTATAAAGGCCGGATAAGTGGCTTAGGTCATCCCACAGCCTCAATCTTTCTATCCTAGAACATTTGGCATAAATAAAAGAACATAAAACCAGTACTCTACTCGTGACTTTTTATTTTAACTCGTGATTAATTGATCAGTAATATCCATATTTATTACGTAAATGTCGAAGTCCAAAATAGCCAAATATGAACGTTAACGTAACTCAAATGTATATGATGCATGAAAT